GAGCAGCTTCCAACTACGCGCAGGCAGTAGTTGGAAAGATCAGTGGACAATATTATGATTAAACATATAATTCATGCCCGCGAGCGTCTCTATCCGTTCTCGTACACTGAGAATGAAAGAGTCATGATCATGACTAAAATTTTGGGCGAGGAATTCCTTATTACCTAAATTTGGTCGAGGAAACCTTCCTCGCCCGAATTTGGGTGAGAAAGGTTTCCTCACCCAAATTTGGGTCATAATACTATGGAGCCATATAGGCAGCTGATACACGCTTCCTCACCCAATTTTGGGCGAGGAAGCCTTCCTCACCCAAATTTGGGCGAGGAAACAATCCTCGCCCAAATTTGGGTCATTAAGTATACCTCGCCCAAAACGGGGCATTGATCATGACTCTTTCATTCTCAGTGTAGTCCGCAAAACGAACGTTAACCCGAACTTCAGACCGAGAACGTACTCAAGCACGAAAGTCACGCTAGGTTCATGCCATACCAGGACATTTTCGTTGGCACGTTGAAGTTTGCCGGGTCCATCAAGGCTCCAATTTTGCCAACTTGACGTACGGTCCATTTGGACGCTTTCAGAGTCTTTACCAGAGTCGTCCAACTTCAAACCCCAGTAACTCAATACGAAAAGTCGTACGCCGAACCCATGCTTTCACTTTTGCGGGCTCGAACGTGAGTTCCGGGTTTGAAAGGGTTTCGCTGCGTACCGGGTCGGCGTTCGGGCCGGTCAACGCCAGATTCAGGTATGAAAACTTTTGTACGCCACACCAGGTTCTTCCTTTGGTATCAACGTACGCCGTGCATTTCTTATGAGACGCCATACTCGGGAATTTGAACCACGGGCGCTGAAGGCTGGCGCGCGTCGCAAGTCGCTTAGAAGCGACACTGAACAGTGTTCCACGACGAACTCGACTCAGTGAAGCGAACGCGACACTGTGGGACGAGCTCAACTCAGTGAGGCGAACGCGACTGAGTGGCGAACGAGACACTCTGGGACGAACCCGACTCAGTGAGGCGAACGCGACACTGTGGGACGAACTCGACTCAGTGAGGCGAACGCGACACTGTGGGACGAACTCGACTCAGTGAGGCGAACGCGACACTGTGGGACCAACTCGACTCAGTGAGGCGAACGCGACACTGTGGGACGAACTCGACACAAGACAAACGCGACACTGTGGGACCAACTCGACTCAGTGAGGCGAACGCGACACTGTGGGACGAGCTCAACTCAGTGACGCGAACGCGACACTGTGGGACGAACTCGACTCAGTGAGGCGAACGCGACACTGTGGGACCAACTCGACTCAGTGAGGCGAACGCGACACTGTGGGACGAGCTCGACTCAGTGAGGCGAACGCGACACTGTGGGACGAGCTCGACTCAGTGAGGCGAACGCGACACTGTGGGACGAACTCGACTCAGTGAGGCGAACGCGACACTGTGGGACGAACGCGACACTGTGGGACGAACTCGACTCAGTGAGGCGAACGAGACACTGTGGGACGAACTCGACTCAGTGAGGCGAACGCGACACTGTGGGACCAACTCGACTCAGTGAGGCGAACGCGACACTGTGGGACGAACTCGACACAACAAGACAAACGCGACACTGTGGGACCAACTCGACTCAGTGAGGCGAACGCGACACTGTGGGACGAGCTCAACTCAGTGACGCGAACGCGACACTGTGGGACGAACTCGACTCAGTGAGGCGAACGCGACACTGTGGGACCAACTCGACTCAGTGAGGCGAACGCGACACTGTGGGACGAGCTCGACTCAGTGAGGTGAACGCGACACTGTGGGACGAGCTCGACTCAGTGAGGCGAACGCGACACTGTGGGACGAACTCGACTCAGTGAGGCGAACGCGACACTGTGGGACGAACTCGACTCAGTGAGGCGAACGCGACACTGTGGGACGAGCTCAACTCAGTGAGGCGAACGCGACACTGTGGGACGAGCTCAACTCAGTGAGGCGAACGCGACTGAGTGGCGAACGAGACACTCTGGGACGAACCCGACTCAGTGAGGCGAACGCGACACTGTGGGACGAACTCGACTCAGTGAGGCGAACGCGACTGAGGGGCGAACGCGACACTGTGGGACGAACCCGACTCAGTGAGGCGAACGCGACACTGTGGGACGAGCTCAACTCAGTGACGCGAACGCGACACTGTGGGACGAACTCGACTCAGTGAGGCGAACGCGACACTGTGGGAAGGACACGACTCAGTGGGGCGAATGCGGCACTGTGGGACGAACCCGACACAACAAGACCAACACGACACGGTAGAAATACAGTCCGCTCGCCTACACGGAAAAAAATCCGTGGTCGTGGCGACCGAATCTCGATCGCCACGACCATCTTTTTTGATAGCTTGGGGGACTACCGGATTTCTGATCGTGAGAACCATGTCACCGAGCTGAGGCAAGCTGGCCATCAGAACGACTGTGTTGATTGTGACAACCAAGAATAAGGTATCCTAGAACCGTCGTCCATCAGTTGCAGGGAAGGTATGATTTTAGTGCCTCTTCGAGACGACCAGAAAGTTGGTTGAGAGAACCAACTCATCTGACACTTCAGCCGATATCTCGTTCGTGGGGAATTTCTATGCAACGCTCAGCAGACTCTGTTTCAACTTGGTCTGTGGTCCTCGCAAATCAGCGTTGCCAGATGCCGAACAGCGCTCGGTGGTACGGGGAGGGGGAAAAGGTGGTACTTCGGGGCTCTTCGGTGGTACGCGAGGGGTGGGGGAAAGGTGGTACATTGGAGCCGTATGGTGGTACGGAAAGGGGGGGGGCTAAAAATTTACGCTAGGCGTAAACATCGGGAATTTAGAATTTGGCCAAATTGAGAATTCTGAAGAAGTCAGCGGCGGCTCCTCCAACTGGTGTACAAGCAAGCAGGCCCGTTTTGTTGCCCGCGTGCCTCGGGCGGGGCCCAAAAGTGGCACTGCACTTTCAGTTTCCCGCGCCCGACCTGTCCGACCAGAGTCCCTTTCCTTGGAATAGGTCACGAACGCAGGCAAAGGATTACCTGTTCGACTTCTGGGGGACGACAACCCGACCCAGGCGCCCGAAAAGTTCCATTTGCCTGCGTGCGGACCTAATCCGGTGTTTTCCCGGAAAAGGTGGTACGGAATCGCTCGGTGGTGGTACGGTGGTACGGGGCTCGTAATAGTGGTACATGTATCACCAAGGTGGTACGTCTGGCAACACTGTCGCAAATGTAGTGTTTCTTACACTGTGATCCGAAACTGGCATCACAATCAAAAATGAATGAGTCGGCACGGCGAAGACGCCGCACCGTCGCTCTCTGCCCGATTGAGCAGAAGACAAGTGGTTGGGGATCATGCCTGAACCTAACCTATTGACCGAACGTAGACGCCAGCGAGAGGCAACATGAAAATGCGTTCTTCTCGACTTCAGTGTAATATTTTGTTCAGAACTTTTAGCTGACGGCTAGAGAACATATTTACCGAGGCAACAGACAACATTATTTGCGAAAATTATTTACTTGAGTAACATAAATCGGAAATACTAATAGGCGAACGGGGACGCCGCCACCAAGCGGCAGGTCCGTGAAACCTCGACTCTCAGAACCGAACTTCCTTGAGGAGAGCGGTCGGTTGTGACGATCGGCTCGGGCCGACCAAGTGACTTGTAAGAGGATAAATACGCTAGTTGGTTGTCTGAATCAAGCCGTTCGATGCCCACAATCACTGTAACGACAACTGAGTACATCCGATCGTGACGACCAACAGCTTTTTTTCCGTGTAAGGCTCCTACTCTAAAAGGGCGAACGAGGCACCGTGGTTACAATGCGTTACTGCAGCAGTCATTAGGGGACGAAAACGACATAATGTAACAACGGTCACACTGTGGGGCGAAGACGACATTGTGGGATGGACGAGACACTTTGGTAACATCGCGGCACCGTGGCAACAACGCGACACTGTGGGACGAACACGACATAGGGTGTATCAAGTCAAGGCCGACGATAGATGACTGAAAACAGATAATGGGAGCAGCAGACTCAGTGTGAAGTCAATTTATCACACTTTTAACGAATTCCACGCATTTTAATCAATTGATAAGCTTTTGATGCTTTCGATTGCTCACAGCGTCGGTTTGAACTACCAGTTGTGAGTCCTTATCCGCAGTGACCTGTGGCGGTGGTAGTTTGTTTATGTTTTTCGATTCAATGCGAGGGAAAAGTACGGAAAATGTCTAGTCAATCAGCCTAGCCTGGACCTTCCGTACCTTTCCAACTAAGGAACTTCTGTCCTCGTTTTTCAGTACTTACCTGAGTTCATATGGAACAGGTACGGACGTTCCGTACTTTTTCCGCACTACATTTGTGTGTACATGTTCCGTGCAAAAGTACTTACGGATTTTTTTTTTTGCTGTGTTCCTAGTTATATTATGGCTCATCGTGCTTAATAACGATTTGATGGTTTTCAACGCCGCAATTGCAAGCATTCGTCGCCTGGGAGGCGAGGGGTGAATAACTCAGCGTTCTGGTGTACATGTACATGAGTGCGGGTGAGCACACCCTCTAATAATCATAAACTTCGCACATTTAAAGGTGTTTGGTTTTATTTAGCTGTTAAGACGACACACCAAATCGTTTAAAAAAATGAGCAAATTATGCTCTTTTTAATCTTGTGAGTACACCGAGTACGGTCCAATGTGTACCCGCGAGTACACTAGTGATTCGCCCCTAGCTGAGAGGTGAGACTGACCACCACAACGGGGTGGCACCTACAGTTGTTCCTGGCGACCGTACGAGATCAAGGGCGCAGATCGGCCCAGCCGTTCTGCCGGCACGCACACACACGCACGTAGGCCTACAATCAAAACCCAGCCAATTAAACATCCGGTCCGACCCACTCGGCGTTTTCCCTGTTTCGGCTGTCAATGAGAGGGCGTGTGTTTGCCCGTGTTGCCAGGCAACGCCACAGGTGGGCTGAGGAGGTGAAACAGTTTCGGGTCTGGCGGGTGGCGCCTACACTGCGGTCACAGTTGAGAGGCGAAGACCTGAGTGCGCGTTTCCAACATGGTTTTCGTCGCATTACAAAACATCCTCACCGCCATCTGGGCACTTGGTCGCGTCGTCAGCATCGCTGCTGAGGCAGGTGGGAAAGCCTCGCACTGCTTGCTACAAATCACTGCAATCAATTTTTTCGACCCTCAAGATAAATCTTGATCTTGTGGTGCAGTCTCAAAGAACCATGGATGGCGTGGGGTGACTTATTTAGCTGAGCGAAAGGGTTTAAAGATTACACACTAAATGTTTTATGTACTTTATTGTCCATAGCTATGACCGTTTTTGTGCATACAGAACTTATGTACAAATTTGTACATAAATTAATAACAATATTTCCATATTGTGCTGAAGTATGTAAAACATTGTACCTAATTTATGTACATAACTTCATGCACAAATACGGCTTTAGTTATGGACTTAACGTCCATAAGCATTTAGTGTGTACATTGCTCGTAAGATACGTTAGTAATTTTGTGACTAACGTTAAGTTACCTTTTTTGTTTGGTTTGACTACCTTCAAGGCGCAAAAAATGCCCAATTTCTTGGCCTGTCCTCCAGGAACTGAATTTCCGCTCCGTAAAGCAGTCACGGTAGTGCTTTTCATTCTGTTCCAGTGTGCCCGCCACTGCGGTCTCTCACGGTGCGGGTGGAGTGCGTCCGGGGCTCCGAGCGCGTCAACTGCACGGAGCAGCCCTCCGCTCCAGGAACGGTGGCCAACTTCAAGTGCAAGGACTTACACCAGCTGGTGTTCGACTTCCAGCCTCCCGCCGGCTTCGAGTCTCACTGTGGCTCGGATGGCGAGTGGAGCGTCCTGCCGTTTCGCTGCGCGCCAAGTTAGTGCCTTTCGCAAACTTGCTTGTATCCTTAAATATCCTTAATTCTAGCACTGAGAAAACCTTACAAACTATTTTGGGCCTTACAAAGAAAAGTAGTTTGTATAACAAATATTTTGAGCATACATAAGCTTACAGAGAAAATACTTCGTAATTTACGAACTATTTCTTCGTATAACAAAGTATTTTAGTTTGTTATATGTATGCTCAAAATACTTCGTAAGGTTTAAATAGTGAGGGGTCCTATTCAATAGATCTTATCCGGGCGTTCCTCCCAAGAGAATCTTATCTTAAACGCAGGCGAATTTCACTCATTTTGATCATTTGGGATGAATGCGACAGTAAGCGGAATATATTTCTACATGCACTTCCTAATCTTTGTTCTCAGTGCGGCTTTTTTGCGTTAAAAATGTCTCATCTTAAAAATAGGACGTCAGGACTCGCTACTGTTTCTCTCGGTTTGAATCACCCTTTGAACGCGCCTCCCACCGCTCTCGCGGCATTATCTAAGGGAAGGCCCCTATTCCCCTCAGTTTCCCTAAGATTCCTCAGGATAAGATGATACGAAATTTCTTCTTCTTTCTAGTTTGCGGTCGTCCAACGGGGAAGCTGACGGCGCTGGTGCGTGATGGAGAAGTTGTAACTTCCGCCGCGGACTTCCCATGGCACGTGACGGTGTACGACAAGGAGCAGAACATGAGGCAAATCTGTGGCGGCTCCCTCGTCTCGCCTAAGTTCTTCGTGTCCGGTAAACATAGAACAATAGGACGAAACGCGAAAAAAAAATCGATAATCAGTTCAATAGGGTACTCCAATGAATCTTGAAGCGGAGGAAGGAGATCAAAAGTAAGGGAAGGTGGGTGGGGCACCATGGCACAGTTTTTGCTTACAAACCTGTCATTCAAACGCTCCCAACACACTTCATCTTTAAATTCCCTCTGAGATTTTTGATGTATCTCCATTGGTTGGTGAGTAATCTCTACTTGAAAGCTGGATCTTAAAGTGTGGCGGCGCACCGAAAGAATCGGTCGAAGTGCCACATCGTACCCCTGGCAGTACACCGTGACAGCGAATGTTACATGGTAACCTTGCCACACACTGCCCCCCCCCCCTTTTGTCCTTAGGCCCTAACACCTTCGTTTCCCTTCGTTCCATATCCCGATTTAAATAAAATATATCCCTTTATTCCTTCTTTTTTTTCGCTCTTTGATTTTGCCTCTGAATTTTAAGGTCTTTCTTTGCTGCCCGATAGGTCATGTTGTGCACGTCGCTCAGACATCCACGCTGCTTCAGGTTACAGAGGAAGGTTGATGGCAAACCCATACCGGCATTGAAACCGATTCTCGTATATGGATTTTCAGCAGCCCGTTAAAAAAATGTCACATAACTGACCCGTGACCTTATTTTTTCCCCCCGCTGCGAAGAACCAACAAGTCGACTTGTGCTCGCTTTCTCGTTTTGCAGCGGCCCACTGCTTCTACTTCGAGAACCCCACCACCGAACCCCAACGCCTACCCGCCGAACGGTTCATGGCAGGCTTCGCAAAGACAAATATCAACGCTAACGTGACCGAGCTAGGGGCGCAGTTCCGGGCGGTGAGTCATCCAACGGTTCTAAATTGCAGAGGGAAGGAACTTGGAACAAAATTTCTGAAGCCGAGCCGGACCCGACCAATAGCAGACCTCCTTTTCGCGTCTGCACAGCTTACCCAAGAATACGCTTGCTTCCCAGAAGAGATGCAACTGATTTGAACGTCGGTCAGTAGGGGCAGTTTTTATGCGCGACTAATCGTGTTTTCAGGTTGGCGATTTTCGAAAGGGCGCAGACGCCCAGAAAATTGTTGCCAACCAGCGAAAATTAATTTACTGCCTTCTTTCTGCTACCAACATTTTAATCATGATGGACTTCAAAGATGTTCCAATGCCAGAATACCGTCAACGGGGGTAACTTGGGACAGTCTGCCCTGTACAGCTTGTTGGTGCCGCCATTCAGCGACGGGGGTCCCTGGCGTCAAACCCGCGGCAGAGTTTTGTTTCGGAGGCCTCAGGGCACGCGCCGAAAGGTGGAAAAGGTGCATAACATCACAATTAGTATTTGAGAAACGGGAAACTACATAATAGGGTTTTTGACAAAATATGTCAAACATTGACAAGTTGACCTTAGGGCAAGGAGTGAAATGCAGATTTGGCCGATCAGTCTCTCTGGGTTGTTAAATCATACACAGACAACTCGCGCTGCTCGCTGCACTGTGCCAAAAAACAACAGTTAATCCCGTTAATTTTTTTGCCGGCATTTCCTGTAGTTCAGAACACAGGATTTACTGTGCCTGGCTACAGTATTTACTGTACCTGGTACAGGATATTCCGTACTCCACTTCTGTGGTACAGTAAATCCCGTACAAAGTACAGTAGATCCCGTAAAAAAGTACAGTGAATCCTGTAATCTGAACTACAGTGACAGCTGTACTTATCACTACAAGATTTACTGTAGTTTTTTCCCACAGTGTGGGGGCTCCGCCCCCAGACCCCCGCATGTGTGGGGGAGTATCTTCAGTAAGTCCGTGGTGACCAAAGGCAAATTTTCTAAGGAAGTAAATGTACTGCTTCTTTGAGGTCTATTTAACCGCTTTTGACCATTAAATTAAGCTACTTTTACTGCCCAAATAGATAGCTTGTATTGCATTGGCTACTGTGGCAGTCAATGGGTGCATACAAGGTCCGGAAAATATTGAAGACTGCTTTGACAAGGATAGAGGTGAATGGAAAAAAACACAGGTCTCTGCGACCACTCCTTGACCCCAAACATTTCTATGAGTGAGTGAGTCAGTGAGTCAGTCAGTGAGTCAGTCAGTCGGATTGGGGCTATATAGGTTCTTGATAAAATTAGGCCTAAATTTAGGCCTATTTAATCGTTTTGTGGATGTTGCCGGTGACGGGGACCCGATATCGGCACAGTTTCAGAAATGTCTCGACCAGACCTACCGATGGGGCGAATAAAAATTTTCAGTCGGTCGGTCCCCTTTTTTGAAGATTGAGAAGATTTTGTTGAATTTAGGCCTATTTTATCGTTTTGAGGATGTTGCCGGCGACGGGGACCCGATTGCGGCACAGTTTCGGAAATGTCTCGACCAGACCTACCGATAGGGCGAATAAAAATTTTTAGTCGGTCGGTCCCCTTTTTTGAAGATTGAGTGGATTTTCTTGAATTTAGGCCTATTTTTATATCGTTTTTAGGATGTTGCCGGCGACGGAGACCCGATTGTGGCATAGTTTCGGAAATGTCTCGACCAGACCTACCGATGGGGTGAATAAAAATTTTTAGTCGGTCGGTCCCCTTTTTTGAAGATTGAGTGGGTTTTGTTAAAATTAAGGCCTATTTTTATATCGTTTTTAGGATGTTGCCGGTGACGGGGACCAGATTGCGGCACAGTTTTGGAAATGTCTCGACCACACCTACCGAAAGGGCGAATAAAAATTTTTAGTCGGTCGGTCCCCTTTTCCGAAGATTGAGTGGGTTTGCTCGGAAACAGTGAGGAATTTGGTCCCCTTTTTTGAAGATTAAGTAGGTTTACTCGGAAACGGTGAGGAATTTTGAACTTCTGCGATTTTTCCCAATTTTCCCATAAAATTTGGAATCGAATGGAAAAAACCGCAAGTCTCTACGACCACTCCTTGCCAGGCGCGTAGGAACGTCAAAAAATTTGGGGGGTCAATGTATTGCATGTTGCCTACTTCACAGGGGATTAGCTCGGGGCAGCTCCAAAAACTGGGGGGTCAGCTGACCCTCTGACCCGGTGCCTAATACGCCGCTGCCTTGACCTTAAACATTTCTATGAGTCAGTCAGTCAGTCGGATTGGGGCTATATAGGTTCTTGACTCGCGCTGCTCGCTGGGGGCTCCGCCCCCAGACCCCCGCATGTGTGGGGCGCGTGCCGAAGTATTTTCAGTACGTCGAAGGTGACCAAAGGCAAATTTTCCAAGGAAGTAAATGTACTGCTTCTTTGAAAGGTCTACTAACAACTTTTGACCATATAATTAAGCTTCTTTTACTGCCCAAACGGATAGCTTGTATTGCATTAGCTACTGTGGCAGTCAATGACTGCATACAACGTCCGGAAAATATTGAAGACTGCTTTGAGAAGGATAGAGGTAAATGGACAAAACCGCAAGTCTCAAAGACCACCCCATGACCCGAAACATTTCTATGAGTGAGTGAGTCAGTGAGTGAGTCAGTCGGATTGGGGCTATATTGGTTCTTGATTGATGATTTTGAGGACGTTGCCGGTGACGGGGCCTGATTGCGGCATAGTTTCGGAAATGTCTCGACCAGCCCTACCGATGAGGCGAATAAAAATTTTCAGTCGGTCGGTCCCCTTTTATGAAGATTGAGTGGATTTTGTTGAATTTAGGCCTATTTTATCGTTTTGAGGATGTTGCCGGTGACGGGGACCCGATTGCGGCACAGTTTCGGAAATGTCTCGACCAGACCTACCGATGGGGCGAATAAAAATTTTCAGTCGGTCGGTCCCCTTTTTTGAAGATTGAGTGGATTTTGTTGAATTTAGGCCTATTTAATCATTTTGAGGATGTTGCCGGTGACGGGGACCCGATTGCGGCACAGTTTCGGAAATGTCTCGACCAGACCTACCGATGGGGCGAATAAAAATTTTAAGTCAGTCGGTCCCCTTTTTTGAAGATTGAGTGGATTTTGTTAAAATTAGGCCTACTTTTATATCGTTTTAAGGGTGTTGCCGGTGACGGGGACCAGATTGCGGCATAGTTTCGGAAATGTCTTGACCAGACCTACGGATAGGGCGAATAAAAATTTTCAGTCGGTCGGTCCCCTTTTTTGAAGATTGAGTAGATTTTGTTGAATTTAGGCCTATTTAATCGTTTTGAGGACGTTGCCGGTGACGGAGACCCGATTGCGGCACACTTTCGGGAATGTTTCGCCGGGGTCGGAAACGGCCTAGGGAGCGCGTGAGCCCGTGCGCCCCACCGCTGCCGACGCGCCGCACCTCCGTGAAGATGGCCTCACCCATTTGAGCACAGTTTAAAAAACTACGCTCAAGAAACTGTGCTCGAACTGTGCTCTCAGAATATGCCACAGATTTCATTTGTGCTTGAACGAGTCGGTGGAAATCAAGTGTAACGTTTTGGGTGAGGCTCACGTAACGCTGCCCTCACCCAAGTAAGCACAACTGATAAGACTATGCTCAAAAAACTGTGCTATAATTGTGCTCTCAATTGCGCGTAGAGACAAGGGCTGTGCTCAGATAGAAAAAAATAGAAAATCAGAAAACACGGGTGAGGCTCACTTCACACTCGCCTCACCCATAAACACAACACCCTCCAAAACAACGTTATCAAATCAGAAATTAATTGTGCTCTCCAAATTAACCCTCCAAAATAACTGTGCACAAATAGGGACGCCGCTGCATAAGACTGCAGGCCAGGGGATTTGCGTTTTGTGTCCATGTTGTTGGCCGAACTTACCAAGCCGAGCACAAAAACTGGGACCACTACCAAAAAACTGTGCTCGAATTGTGCTCTCGAATGCACGTATCGAGAGCGTTTTTCCCCCTGGGGAAAGCTTGGAAACGCCACAAATGCGAAAGTGGAGCTTCGACACCTCAAAAGGCGTGCACAGTTGGGGGGAAAATTACCAAGCCGAGCACAAAAATTAGGACCACTGCCAAAAAACTGTGCTCGAATTGTGCTCTCGAATGAACCCCTCCGAAGTGCTCTTGCTCCTCGGGAAAGCTGGAAAATCTCCGGAAAAGCGTGTAGCGAGGCCTGCGCACTAACACGCGCCCCTCGAGCACAAAAAATGGGAACCCTGCCAAAGATCTGTGCTCGAATTGTGCTCTCGAATGCACCCCTCAGAAATGCTCTTGCTCCTCGGGAAAGCTGGAAAATCTCCGGAAAAGCGTGTAGGGAGGCCTGCGCACTAACACGTGCCCCTCGAGCACAAAAAATGGGAACCCTGCCAAAAATCTGTGCTCGAATTGTGCTCTCGAATGCTCCCCTCAGAAGTGCTCTTACTCCTCGGGAAAGCTGGAAATTCTCCGGAAAAGCGTGTAGCGAGGCCTGCGCACTAACACGTTCCCCTCGAGCACAAAAAATGGGAACCCTGCCAAAAATCTGTGCTCGAATTGTGCTCTCGAATGCTCCCCTCAGAAGTGCTCTTGCTCCTCGGGAAAGCTGGAAAATCTCCGGAAAAGCGTGTAGCGAGGCCTGCGCACTAACGCGCGCCCCTCGAGCACAATAAATGGGAACCCTGCCAAAGATCTGTGCTCGAATTGTGCTCTCGAATGCACCCCTCAGAAGTGCTCTTGCTCCTCGGGAAAGCTGGAAAATCTCCGGAAAAGCGTGTAGCGAGGCCTGCGCACTAACACGCGCCCCTCGAGCACAAAAAATGGGAACCCTGCCTAACATCTGTGCTCATATTGTGCTCTCGAATGCTCCCCTCAGAAGTGCTCTTGCTCCTCGGGAAAGCTGGAAAATCTCCGGAAAAGCGTGTAGCGAGGCCTGCGCACTAACACGTTCCCCTCGAGCACAAAAAATGGGAACCCTGCCAAAAATCTGTGCTCGAATTGTGCTCTCGAATGCTCCCCTCAGAAGTGCTCTTGCTCCTCGGGAAAGCTGGAAAATCTCCGGAGTAGCGTGTAGCGAGGCCTGCGCACTAACAAGCGCCCCTCGAGCACAAAAAACGGGAACCCTGCAAAAAATCTGTGCTCGAATTGTGCTCTTGAATGCACCCCTCAGAAGTGCTCTTGCTCCTCGGGAAAGCTGGAAAATCTCCGGAAAAGCGTGTGGCAAGGCGTTCATCATCTGAAGGCACATGATTTGACTGTCTGATAACTTTTTGTGTTTTATGTTCGACAGGTTTAAGGACATAGGACGTTGATTTATCTTCTATATTTTTATTGGCTGAAAGTTTTTCAGTTTGATTAACAAATACAGTGTTTTTTGATTTTTTTAAAGATTATTATTTAATTATTTACCGACTGAAATTGTTCTTAATTCAATGCTTCGTTATGATGCTTACACTCTTAGGTCTTCAATTCGGGTTTATTAATTTGAATGCACATGGGTTATATGACCTATAATTGAATGGAACACTTATGTATAAAAAACCTCGTTTAAGAAAAAAAGCTTATGAATTGTAATACAATTGTTAGTTACAAATATGTCAATAATGATTACATCGTGTAGAGTAGCATGCAAACCGAAATGACCTTGTCGGTTTTAAGATTTTCGTGCTTCGTTCTTAGATCATCAAATATCTGCCAACTTCCTCCAATCCGTCGAGAGAATGTGACATAATGACCTAACTCTCCCTCCTTCTTGAAGTTGTATCGCCTTGATGCTACATAAGGTGCATTGAATCCAATTGCTCCTCGGAGAGTGTAAGTAGTACCCAAAAGGTCAAGCGATATTGGTATCTGACTTAAACGACACTTATATGTTGTTTCAAAGGTAGCCGTTCCTTTGCCCTGACTCTCATACTCATACCCACATCTTTCATTTCCAACACCAGGAATGGAAATAAGAACGGTCTGCTGCATTGTGTATACGTGCTCGACAACGCCAGAGCACAGTACATATTTGGAGAACGTGGGGTCCGGTGGAAAGTTTGTAACATAATCCGGGTCACCACAGATGTCGTTCAATCCATCCTTGAACGGCTGCATACATTGGGAAGTACTAAATACCATGTTGTCGTGAATGCACCTTTCAAGTTGTTCTATGCCATCCCTCAAAAGAGTTTGCGTGTTGGCAGTAAGTACAATCAGATTTGATCCACAACGATCACGGGGACAGACCTGAGAAGAGCATGTTTCTGCATCTAACATGGAAACTGGTCCGTTCAGTTTTACTGCTAAAAACTCAGGCGTCATGGCGCAATCAAGTGTCACGAGCTTTTTTGACATAGTTCCGTGAGGAAGATGTTCGTATAGCAATTGGGCCCTGGCTTGGTATGCTGCATCGTTTACACCTTTGGTAACAATTTGCGAAGCTAGCTTCAAAATTGGGGACTCGCTTGCAGTAGCCAATTCTCTAAAGGCTGGGCTATCACAATAGGCAGTGCCAAACACGTGTACGAGGGAATCAAAACCCGAGGGGGCAAAAACTCGGGATTTTCGTGTTCGGGTTTCGGGTTCGGAAAACGCAATGATTGCGCATGGTTTTAATTGATTTCATGGCTGATTTTGCCTTATTTCGCGACGCACCAGGGTGATGTTGAGCGTGATTGCGTGTGATTGTGTTCGGAAAGAAATGATTTCGGACTGATTTGGCCTGGTTTCGTGTGATTCTGCCTAATTTCGGTCGATTTTAGTGATTTTGGCTGATTTCGGATTGCATGATTTCGCGTGATTCTCAATGATTCGGGTGTGATTTCGGGGGCCGTGTACACATGATTGCGCGAGTTTTTGCCCCCTCGTCAAAACCACATGTGTTGGTTAGGGACACAGTCACCTTCCCACACTTTCGCGCTCGTAGGCTCATGTTGCCACCATTTTGAAGCGGCTTAAGCTTTGACTGCATATTGTTGTCTGCACGCAGCTTTAAATCCGGTTGTGGACTGCCGTAGTAACTGCCTTTTTTCACAGGCTTGCCATATCCCTTCCAGTTTTCAAACGACCAATATTCATCGGTACCTACAAATATTTCAAAGTAATTATCCCGAAACAAAATAAAAACATTTAACGAATAAAATTGCGTCCACAAAGATAATATTACCTGGGCAACTCTTTTTGCAAGAAGTGCACAAGCGTTTCGGGTTTGTCGAGTCCTGACTCCCAGGAACTGGAACCGAACAGCTGTCAATTGCGTGAACTGGCTTTAAACATTTTACGCAGTTTACGCTGCCATCTGGCTTTGATTTTGAGCATAAAACACAGAATGAATCAGTAGCATCTGCATAAAACCAGTAAAAAAAATAATTTTACGCTAGAATGACAATTAGCGAAGAATAGTTAAAGTTAAATTGATTGAATTGCACTTTTCAAATTCTTGCCTTTAGTATGCTGCCTAGCTTGAGTGGATTTAACAACCTGCGTCTTTTTGAAAGGCCGACGTGGACCAGAAGAGCCTAAAATTGGACTGGTTGCCCTACTTGCTTGGTAATTTTCCCCCCAACTGTGCACGCCTTTTGAGGTGTCGAAGCTCCACTTTCGCATTTGTGGCGTTTCCAAGCTTTCCCCAGGGGAAAAACGCTCTCGATACGTGCATTCGAGAGCACAATTCGAGCACAGTTTTTTTTGGTAGTGGTCCCAGTTTTTGTGCTCGGCTTGGTAAGTTCGGCCAACAACATGGACACAAAATGCAAATCCCCTGGCCTGCAGTCTTATGCAGCGGCGTCCCTATTTGTGCACAGTTATTTTGGAGGGTTAATTTGGAGAGCACAATTAATTTCTGATTTGATAACGTTGTTTTGGAGGGTGTTGTCTTTATGGGTGAGGCGAGTGTGAAGTGAGCCTCACCCGTGTTTTCTGATTTTCTATTTTTTTTTCTATCTGAGCACAGCCCTTGTCTCTACGCGCAATTGAGAGCACAATTATAGCACAGTTTTTTGAGCATAGTCTTATCAGTTGTGCTTACTTGGGTGGGGGCAGCGTTACGTGAGCCTCACCCAAAACGTTGCACTCGATTTCCACCGACTCGTTCGAGCACAAATGAAATCTGTGGCATATTCTGAGAGCACAGTTCGAGCACAGTTTCTTGAGCGTAGTTTTTTAAACTGTGCTCAAATGGGTGAGGCTATCTTCACGGAGGTACGCGCCGCGCGCGGCGGACCGCCCTGCACGGCGGTACTAAAATCGACAGAACTTTGTCAAAACTTCATCAAATCGATCAAACGAGGTCATTTTTGGATTCTGCACAAAATTTCCTATCGATTACGAACAATGGTTTAGCGTTTCAAGTGTTTAAAACACGTTATTTTTCAATTATAAGTCAATTTTACCGGCAACCGACAGCCGACTTGATATTTCTCATTCGCTTAAAAAGTGATTTCTGTTTGTTTTAGGTCCATACATGCAGCGAGCCGATTGTTGGCAATAGTTTACTCTGTGGCGTGGTGTGTTTGGAATGTTGATACGACCTCTGGGGCGACCACAGTGATCCAAAACGTAACTTGGACATTTGGTACAAAATTGGTTTTTGCAACTTTGGAGGTTAAAAGCACAGCTTGTAAAATCACGTTTGTCATGTTATATACGCCTAAGCCACCCAGAATTTTATTCTCTATCGCCCTGTGGTAAGCGTTTTGCGAAAGGAGATCACACTTCAGATATCTCGCAAAAGTTCCGAAACACTACGAAAACGCCGTAACAGTACAAGCAAACGGGGGAGCTTAATGTAAACAAACTATAGCTCGGATTGAAAATCTGACACCACCACGTTGTAGCGCGGACAATTTTACAAGCCATAGTCTAAGCTCATCGCAATCGGACCATCGGTTCGAAAACAGCAGTATATATTCTAAAAGACAGATTTAACGTCGGGTTTGGTCAGGCGGCGGCAGTATGAGAAATTACTGTGGCGGCGCACTGAACAGGGGTTAAGAGATTTGCTCGCTACGTTCAAACCGATGGTCTGATTGCGATGAGCTTAGACTTTAGCTTGTAAAATTGTCCGCGCTACAACGTGGTGGTGTCAGATTTTCAATCCGAGCTATAGTTTGTTTACATTAAGCTCCCCCGTTTGCTTGTACTGTTACGGCGTTTTCGTAGTGTTTCGGAACTTTTGCGAGATATCTGAAGTGTGATCTCCTTTCGCAAAACGCTTACCACAGGGCGATAGAGAATAAAATTCTGGGTGGCTTAGACGTATAGAACATGACAAACGTGATTTTACAAGCTGTGCTTTTAACCTCCAAAGTTGCAAAAACCAATTTTGTACCAAATGTCCAAGTTACGTTTTGGATCACTGTGGTCGCCCCAGAGGTCGTATCAACATTCCAAACACACCACGCCACAGAGTAAACTATGGCCAACAATCGGCTCGCTGCATGTATAGACCTAAAACAAACAGAAATCACTTTTTAAGCGAATGAGAAATATCAAGTCGGCTGTCGGTTGCCGGTAAAATTGACTTATAATTGAAAAATAACGTGTTTTAAACACTTGAAACGCTAAACCATTGTTAGTAATCGATAGGAAATTTTGTGTAGAATCCAAAAATGACCTCGTTTGATCGATTTGATGAAGTTTTGACAAAGTTCTGTCGATTTTAGTACCGCCGTGCAGGGCGGTCCGCCGCGCTCGGCGCGTCGGCATCGGTGGGGCGCACGGGCTCACGCGCTCCCTAGGCCGTTTCCGACCCCTGGTTTCGACCAGACCTACCGATCGGGCGAACAAAAATTTTTAGTCGGTCGGTCCCCTTTTTGGCCCGTCCCGTTTATTTTTTGTAAAAAAATGACGGAGGGACGGGCGTCCGAGGACTTCCCGTGATCCGATCTTGACCAAATTTGGTATGCAGCCTCCTTGGGTGACCCTAAGAACCGCCCGGTGGCAGCAAATCCGATCCGAGCCCCGGGGGCGCTGCTGCAGGTGCATTATGGTCTACATGGGGTCGAGGAGGATTTCGGCAACGGATGCAGCTAGGAGGGCATGTAGGGGTATTTTTGGAATCGGGGCGACGAGAAAAAACCAATGATGCCAGTTTCGAGCGAATCGGAGAAGTTTGGACCCGGGTTCAAATCCCAGTGGGGTATATTTTGAACATTCTTTTTATTCCAGTTTTTGCATTGTTTCTGATGTTTTTAAGGGTGCCGATGACGAAAACGACATTTATTTTAATCCCAGACTCAGGTTTGAATCCCATCAGGGTCAAACATGGGCGAAATTCGTACGTTTCTTAATGTACGGGACGGGCCAAAGTTGCCGATGTATATCGCTACTTTTCCTGTTATTTGAAAACTGAGTAGATTTTGTTGAATTTAGGCCTATTTTTATCGTTTTGAGGATGTTGCCGGTGACGGAGACCCGATTGTGGCATAGTTTCGGAAATGTCTCGTCCAGACCTACCGATGGGGCGAATAAAAATTTTTAGTCGGTCGGTCCCCTTTGATCCAATGGTCTGGGTTGAGAATCTTGCCTCTGGCGTTCAAAAAACGTGAAAAAGTGTCCTAAGTTACCCCCGTTGACGGTACCATGGAATGACCGGAACACAATCCGGTATGGAATGCATTAGCATTCCGGCATTTTTATTTCTATTTATAGTTATGACTAAATAGAAATCTTTGAATTTTGACGGGTGCCACATCGACCACATTGGTACCACTGCCATTAGTAGCCACCCCTGAGCCACACTTCTATCCCTTTTTCTTTCTCAGCACTCCTTCACAATAACCCAATTGACTTCCACTGAGATTCCAAACGCTATGAGTATAGCACGTATGGTGCAATACAGCTGAGATATCGCACCATATGTGCAATGCCTCAGCCGTATTGCACCTTACGTGCAATGCATCCCAAAAATGCCCTATGCTAATGCATGGGAATGGGGAGGCATTGCACTTCATGTGCAATGCTTTCGCATTGCACCAATCGACGCTATACTCATAGCGTTTGGATTCTGAGTGTCGTTACTCCTACGATTTCTTGGGGTTGTATTTTTTGTTCCTCCTGTCTACCAAGGGTCCGTGAACACGTGCTATTATTTTTCAGGTGTCGCATATTCACACTAAGAACTACGGCGGCGTGAAGCTCCACTACGCTAACGACATCGCGCTGCTGGAGCTGGAGAGCGAGGTGGCCGTGACTGCCTGGACGTTACCTGTGTGCGTCGACTGGAATGGGGACCTGCCGGACCTACGCGGTGGCGAGGAGGGCACAGTAAGGAAGGATGAACGTTACAATCCTGCGATGACATGCCTGTAGTAGTTGCAGCGTGATTATCACTATTGCTCTCCAAACTCAAGAGTTCCAGTTTTTTGTAAACACGGCAGAAAAGTGCAAAAAATGAAGTATTGACTCTCTATTTTCACTTTTCAGACTTATTCACAAAAAAACTGGAACCCACTTTCAAAAAAGGGCGACGGTGTGAACTAGATATATGTGTCAAGTATCCTGTACAGAATACCTGGACCTGGAGATCAACTACTTTTCGAGAAAACGTGCGCACCGAAGGTTGGCAGCGTTGTTTTTTGGCCGAAGTTTTCTACACTCATAGGGTACTTGGGTTAAATGTCTGGCTGAATTCGGAATCTATAAGGAACACATTACAAGACAAAATTAAACTCCTTAGGGTAGGAAAGAGTTTTCAATGAAAACTAGGCACTTTAAAAAAAGGGGCTTCAATGGGTATTTCCCACCTTAAATCTGTGGGCATGTCAATATAATTAGGAAAAAAATTGGTTCCGTTATGCCTACTCCCGGGCCGCCTGTTTCAGAAGGAATACAAATTTGTTACCTTGCAGGGAAAATCGAGACACCTTTTGTTCGCTTGAAACATGAGGACAACATACTCCACTGATAATAATTTCAAGTTATAACAATTTTAAGACGAATTTGATTTACTACACGACCGGTATCTATGCTCTTCGTTTAGTATTTTCATGTGACAGGTTAAACCAGGGGGCAACTCATGACTTCTTTTACATTTTTTCAGCTCTCTTCAGTGACACCCATTTTTCTTCCCTCCAGATTTTATATCTTCTTCATTATTGTCCCCAATCATTTTTAAAATGAATGAAAAGAACTAAAAAAGCTCCAAGCCCGCCTAAATGAGCCAATTTTCCAGACTTCTTCACCATTTTCCTCTCTTGTCTCATAGTATTACACTCCGAATTTCCTACTGAGAAATGCCGTGCTGTCATAATACTAAGCTAATTCTCAGTACTCTACGACACAAATCTATCATAATACAAAGAAATTTGTTTGTAATACTAAGAAACTGGTCATAAGTTACTGAGAACCCCTCACCATACGTTACTACCTTCGCTGTGCTGTCATAATACTAAGCTTTTTGTTCGTATTACGAAGAAAAAGCTCAATAGGATCTTGGGAGTGTACTCCACATTGCAGGGAAATTTAGGACGGCATTTCGAGGATTATTGAAAGGTCCACTCTTAAAAGCCTACGAAGAATTTGCTTCATAACTACGAAGAAAATGAAGGCATTGTAGAATTACTTCATATTATGAAGAAATGCTTCGTATTACGAAGTATTTTGCTTCATAATACGAAGGATTTTGCTTCATGGGTCATTCTACAGAAATGTTACAATTTGATGTCCCTGCCCCTTTGTGACGAAACGGTTCGTCCTAGAAAGACGCGGTTTGCGCGGTGAGATGGTGCTTTTTGTGCTTCAAAATGATCCACTATTGGGTTTGAAAGTTTCTGAGGTTTTCAGATGGCTGTGGCCTCCGGAAGGTGCAAAATGTAAACTCCGTGGCTGTCCCGATGCGTAGTTCACTAAGTTTGCGCCTCTCGTATGTCTAAACGAGACGCAGGACAATCATTCCCGACGGCTCTATTTGCTAAGGCACTTTTATACTTTAACTTAATCCCACTGACTTTAGTAAAAAGTTTGAAGCTTTGTGCCTGCACAGAATTAACTTTTGTCCCGAAGTTTTTACTTCCCTAAAATCCACATGTGCACTGTAACGAGTTTGGCACTACAGGAGACAAACGGGAAGTCACAGCCTCAATCTGAAGACTGCAATGGATTCCGGATGAAAAAACACATCTAGCCACCAAGTTTGAAGGATGTGAGTCCAATGGCTAGCATCTAATTGGTACCCAAATTTCAAATAGGGGGTCGCGTATTTTTTTTGTATGTAAACTCCGTACCCGATTTGCCACGGATCCCCTGTGCGTCAAACTTTCGAATTGTGGATAAAAACAATGCTTTGGTGGTCCTTTAGTCAGCTGTGTATGCGCGTTCTACTGTTCCAACTCATACGGCTGCAATCCAGGTATTTGCTTCAAAATGTAAACTCCGTAGGCGTCAATTTATGTAAACTCCGTAGACATTTCCCCTATGATTTCAGTGGAGAAAAATTTTTTTTCTCGAAAAGTGTGACGCTTGATATCGTTTCGCATTCTGCATGCCAAAACAAGAAAAACAAGCCCAATATGAATGAAATCGGACAACTTTTATTTTTTCACGGTTCTAACTGCGAAATTGTAACATTTCTGTAGAATGACCCTCATAATACGAAGCATTTTGCTTCATAATACGAAGCATTTCTTCGTAGATTTTACAATGCCTTCATTTTCTTCGTATTACGAAGCGATTCTTCGTAGAGTTTTTACTGTGTCCCTACTGCATCTTAAAATCCGAAATTTGGTAGAAGTGTAGCCAAAGGGTCAATAAACAATTGATGAACACTTCAGCACCTCCAATTGAAATTGAAAGATGGAAATTCGCTAAAAGAACCCACGAAATTTGTCTTAGTGTACCCCGTTTTACGGTATGCGTAGGTTGAGAATCTGGTGTGTTCCTGAGTTCGGCACATTGACCTTAAAGGCGTACAGTCTAGTTATTCATAGTCATCTGGTCGCAGGTTGTCGGGTTCGGCCAAACTTTGCTGCGAAGTGAAAACCTGTGCTACGCCAGGTTGCCGTACATGGAAAGGGAAGTGTGCCAGCAACTCGTCGGCAAAAGTTTTGAAATCTACAACACTATGCCCGACAAGTTCTGCGTGGGATACGTCAACAGTAAGCACTTCTGCGGAAAAATGTTGCCAGACGCGAGGTTGGTCCAGTCACGCCGTTTTGTTGCAGACACAACCGTGGCCAAAGGTGACAGTGGGGGAGGTATGGCCTTCCCCTACAGGGACCGCGCGTGGTACCTTCGCGGTGTGGTGTCCGTCGGGAGCGTCTCGAAGATTACGCTCTCCTTTTTCACCAACGTGACGACCTTCTTGCCGTGGATGTCCGGCTTCGTCCAAAAGGGCGTGGTAGGTGGGGCAGGATACGGGGCCACTCTCAGACTTGCTATTGACTTTAAGCACAGTATTGACATTTTGTCAGCACCTCTAGTAATTTGAGCAACCATAATACGCACTTTTCGCTTATGTAATTATTTTTTACATAGTTGTTAGCACTTCTTTACGTTTAAGATGAGATTCTCTCGGGGGGAACGCCCAGAAAAGATCTTTTGAATAGGACCCCTCGGTTTGGCCTGCAGCTGAGTGCGCGCCACTGCGGCGTGGACGTGGCCGAGTCCGACGTCGTGGACGGCGCCACAGCGGGCCGCCAGGACTTCCCCTGGGAGGTGGACGTGTACTTGAAGCAAACCTCGGGCCATGCTTTCGAGAGGCTGTGGTCTGGCGTCCTAATCAAGCCAAACTTGGTCATCACCTGTGAGTAAGGCTGCACTGTCATTCAACGAGTGTGACGTCATATTCGTTGGAAAGTGAATTTTGTCACACTGTAAAAATTAATGTTCGGAATAAACGACGGATCCTTCCGCAAAAAAATTGCCGACGGTTCCTTAGTTAATTTACGAAGGTATATTTACAAGAACCTTCGTAAGTTTTTGGAAGGACCTCAGTCGATTTTACAATCACAATGGAAATTTACGAAGCACCTTCGTAAATCTACAAAGATTCTTCGTAAATTTACAGGGAATCTTCGTTTACTAACAAAGAACCTTCGTTGATATACAGAGAAGCTCCGTAATCACAGGTCTGGAATTAACGACGGATTGCAACAGTCCTTGCCAACAGTTCCTTCGTCTATTTACGAAGGTCCGTCGGAGATTTACGAAGGCCCGTCGTAGATTAACGAAGCCCGTCGTAAATTTACGATTTTCCTTCGTAAATTTACTATGAACCTTCGTAAATTAACGGCGAACTTCCGTTGATTTACGAAAGTTCCTGTAGGAAAGAAACATTTTCAGTGCACTTTTGGACATTCCCAAAAACCTTCGTAAAATAATCCGTCGTAAATTCACAACATAATATTTACAGTGCACGTTCGTTTGAATATGATGTCACATTCGTTCGAATGTTGATCCCGGTTGAACCACGTTTCAACAAATGTGAGATCCAAATTAAATGGCCGTGTCACGTTCAAACGAATGTGACATCGTTTTCAAACGAACGTGACAATAGTCACATTCTTACGAATATGACGTCACATTCGTTCAATAACAGTGTGCAAGGCACTGCCCTGGGCCTGATCCAGCTGACCGGTTGCATGTTTCTTTCCCGCAGCGAAAAAGCAGAACCTGGGTAGGAGTGATAACCTTCTATTGCGCTTGATTTTCCTGACTGAATACCCGGCGTCCGCATTCCGAGTTGCTTCGCGCCGAAACGCCCATTCCTCTCTGACTCTGGACGGCACTTCGGGTTATGTGAGTGAGGTTCTGCGCCTGATCGAACCGAAGGACGTGCAAACCTACGCCGGCCGCTACGACTTCATCGTCCTGGAGCTGAAGCAGCCCCTGAACCTGATGCCGGTGTGCGTGGACTGGACGGGCAGCGCCCAACTACAAAAGCAACGTGTGGGAACGGTAAGTTCGGAACGGGGCATCTTAACAGGGAGGGGGATTCAGAGACAAATATTCGCAGAGAGCAAGACTTCACAGAGAGCGGGTGGTTAAATTGGGTGTAAAACGTCTTTTACAATGGCAGCTACACTGATGAAACAAACGTGGTCAACTCCGCGCCAGTTGACGCGGTCAAACTGGTGTCGTCTACACGGAAAAAAACCGTTGGTCCTCACGATCGGATTTACCCAGTTGTCGTTACAGTGGTTGTAGGCATCGAACGGCTTGATTCAGGCAACCAACTAGCGTATCTGTCCTCTTACAAGTCACTTGGTTGGCCCGAGCCGATCGTCACAACCGACCGCTCTGCTCAAGGAAGTTCGGTTCTGAGAGTCGAGGTTTCACGGGCTGCCGCTTGGTGACGGTGTGTCCGTTCGCCTATTAGTATTTCCGATTTATGTTACTCAAGTAAATAATTTTCGCAAATAATGCTGTCTGTTGCCTAGGTAAATATCTTCTCTAGCTGTCAGCTAAAAGTTCTGAACAAAATATTACACTGAAGGGGGCACACCAGTGAAAATCGTCAAATTTTTGCCTTTTCTTTTATTTTATCTTATTTTTCTGCTATTCATCCCGAGTCGAATGCCGCAAACCCCACCCCGAAATTCCGATTACTTTGGCTTGTGCACATTTTTAAGGTTGCTAAAAAGGTAATTATTTTTGCATATTTTTGACCCATTTTTAACGTTCAGGTTTTTCACTTGAACTTCAATCACAAAACTCTTGAACCACCCAAACGCAGTTGAAAAGAGGAACATTTTGGCGCAAACTGAACTCAAATACGTCAAAAGACGCATTTCTAATCCGAAAAAACACGTCAAATCTATGTTTCCACTTTAAGGGCTTTTACTCAAAACACCTTTTTTGTACCTTTGTGCCACTCTCACGGGCGCAAAAATTAAGATAATTTAATGCGGTTTGCGGCAAAATGTTCGTTACACTTGCGTCTATGGTCTGAACCTCGGAAATGGCCATCCCATACATAGGACGTGAGCTACAGCCATGAAAGCGCGAAAAAATTGGTTAAAAAATTTATTTCTATTTTTGCCTTCTGAAAAAACAAATTCAATATCATTCTATTGGCATGCCCGTGGTTCAGACCATAGCCACATGTGTCCTGTTGAGAAATTTTCAAATCCCGTGCGCGAAGCTCAATCCAGAGAGGCGGAATCGTGGCAGGAGTGAAGCAAGGTCGCAGAAAAATGAAATGCACTGGCGCTTCATCTTGCCATCGCCACCTCGCTCTCCCATACTGATTTTCCTTTTCTTTGACATAATTTTGAGCCAAGAATAAAATATCAATCGAATACATCGGTTACTTTTCTCAGAATGATTGTTTTTCAAAACCTCTGCATTTTCACTGGTGTGCCCCCTGAAGTCGAGAAGAACGCATTTTCATGTTGCCTCTCGCTGGCGTCTACGTTCGGCCATTAGGTTAGGTGCCGGCATGATCCCCCCTACAGACGGTGGTGTTCCGCATGTGGAGCGGATCCAGAGGATCTAGCCTTCGAGTCGGGAAGAGTGGTGCGACTTCGTGGTCTCTTCACCACCTACATTTTTAATTTTCATCCCATTGAAGGTGCTAGACGCACTACGAATTCGAGGACCACAATGTTACAAGTTCTGACCAATCCTGCTGAGCGCAACGTCGGGGGAAAATTCCCCCAAAACGAGATCCGTCGGCTAAAGAGTCAAATGAGTTGGTCCTCTCGACCAACTCTCTGGTCGTCTCGAAGCGTTCCAAAATCATACCTGTCCCTGCAACTCATGGACGACGGTTCTAGGATGCCCTATTCTTGGTTGTCACAATCAACACAGTCGTTCTGATGGCCAGCTTGCCTCAGCTCGGCGACATGGTTCTCACAATCGGAAATCCGGTAGTCCCACCAGCTATCGAAGAAGATGGTCGTGGCGATCGACTTTCGGTCGCCACGACCAAGGAGTTTTTTCCGTGTAAGGTAGGGTGGGGAACCATGACCACTTTTTTTTTGTGCCTCCCTCTACTCCACCGTGTGGTTCGAAAAGTTAAGTTTCCAGCATGAGGGGATTCTTTGGACCTCCAAGGACCTCTTCCACCCATTGGAACTTGTCTGCAATGCACGGCAGGCTCACAGAACACTTTGGAAAATAAAACGCAAAGTGGTCATGGCGCCCCACCTATGGGGTACCATGACCACCCCGTGGGGCACCATGACCATAGAAATTTTTTGGCCCAAAAAAGTGTACTTTCTACCAGCATTCTCATTGAAATTGTTGATATCGCTGTCCTTACCATCAGGCCAGTCAACTTAACTAAAAAAACACTGTAAAAACCTTCGAAGTATCAAACGTTCTAAGATGCCTTTGGACGGTTTAAAACAGTTAACGCTCTAAGGCTTTCAAATTTCACATCCAAAGCTATGACATGTGTTAACATTTTATTATTGTCTTGCTAAGACGAATCCAAATTCGTATGCAGACTTCAATTAGGTAAATTTTAAGAAAATTATCGCGGTTACTACACTGCAAACATGTGAATTAAATGCTGTTTCTCATACTGCCAGAGAGGCCACGGATCGCCTTCGCGGCCAACTTTTGCGGTTTGGAGCTCATTCAGTGCAAGAGAAACTACCATTTCAAGTCTCAGTTTCAGAACCATTCTTAATCATCCTGGTGATTCACGATTTGTGATAAAACTATCTATTCTGCAGCAGTTATTCAACCTTTATACATTTTCAGAAGCAAAAAGCAAATTTTCGACGAAAATAAATCACTATCAGGCCAAAATATGAGAAAAAACACTCAAATATGTACCGTGAAACGGGGTAATTTCGGACACTCGGTGTAATTTCGGACAACTCTGCCCGGAAGCATTGCGATGATGCTCCCATCTAACGGCCAACTTGGAGGCTTGTCCCGTTGCGCGCATCGCAAAGGCCACACTTAAAACCATCTGAACAATCACCCGGAGGCCAAATGAGGGGCAAACTCCAGGAGAAATAGTGGTTTTTGTATTTAACCATTTTTACCTAAATTCGCTTTATGCGTAAAAACTTTGACCGGCAGGCCGAAACTGTTCATGGCCGGTTCATGAGGGGATTGTTTGTCGATTCAATCATATTAAGAGTATTCTGTGTCAAATTTTCAATCACCTGGGTCAAATAGTATGGTTTATATGGGCTCAAAACTAAAAAAATGTTACTTTACGGGGTAATTTCGGACATACAAACGTCACGACAGGGAGAGTGGGTATGTCCTGAACACTTCCAATTTTGCAGGGTTTGAGTGGTGGAAGCTGAAAAGCTCTTCTGAAAGTTGAAGATAATCCAATAACAACGATAATCCCCAATTGTTACAGTGGTTGCTTTGTAAACTTCGAATTTCATGAAAATGGGGCAAAGCTACATCTTTGATACTTAGTTTTATGAGCATGTCCTACCTTAGTGTCAACGACTGTTTTGTGATTAATTTTCTTTCATGTTACATGAGAGTAGGACTTGGCGAATGGCTGCATAGCTCGCCGGTTTACTATGCAAAGCTTTCCACTGAGCCCCTGTATCTTCCTAACCGTACACTGATTTTCCGAATGTAATAAAGAACTCATTTAAAAAGCAATAACATTTTTATTGCATTAGTAGCGCCATGAAAAAGTTATTGCATTAAAAGTGCAATAATTATTGTATTGCATTAGCGCATTCATCGCATTATTTGTGTAGTTATCATTTTATCACGCCGAAACTGTGATAATCTGGGCCCAGACCGGCCAAAACCTAAGGGACTTATTGCAATTTTAGTGCGATAATTTTTTATGGCTGCCACAGATGCGATAATTTGAGGGAATCACACTAGCCTTTTTATCGCAGCAAATTGTATGAAAGTTATCACATTAGAAATACCAGTGTACATACGACACGACTACTTGCCTTTCATATTCATGTATGTGATCATATGTAATCTTGTAGAGGGAGATTTAAGATTCACTTTCGCGTAATAAAGTATGGCCCGAGTTGCCTATGAAAGCTAATCGGTCAAAAACTAACAAATAGAAGCGTTCTAAATGGCTCTACTAGTTCCACCCACTATTCCTGAAATCAAACTACATATGAGTGCAAAACATGACTTAAAATTATGTATGAATGACCACCTCTACCTTACTTGTACATCCAGGGGGCGGCAACGGCCTAGGAGGCGCGTGAAGCCATGCGCGAGTAAGGTGCAGAGGTTACTTATTTTGCTTCGATTGTAAGATCTAGGCCGTTGATTGCAAAACGCTTTGCACAGATCGAAAGAGCACAAAATTTGGGGTGCATTAGGCTAATTGCCCTTCTCGAAACTCCTCCCTTACCTAGTATTAAGGTGCAGTAAAAACACCGAAAAACACAAAAATCGTAAAATTTAGGAAAAAACTCGAATGCGCCATGTTGATGTAAATGATTTCGCCCTTGAGTTCGGTTGAATTGGAAGTATCGGGCAGTCTTTTAGGCCTAATGCACCCCAAATTTTGTGCTCTTTTGATCTGTGCAAAGCGTTTTGCAATCAACGGCCTAGATCTTACAATCGAAGGAAAATAAGTAAACCATGCACCTTACTCGCGCATGGCTTCACGCGCCTCCTAGGCCGTTGCCGCCCCCTGGTACATCTAAACCCTTTTGAATTTATCACATAATCATATTAGCACTTTAGAAAGAGACAGTGATCGATTTTGGGACCAAAATCAGCACGAAAAGACGTTTTTTCCAGGGGTGTCCGAAACTACCCCAAAACACGGGGTAATTTCGGACACTGCTTCGGACCCTCCACTGTTAACACGGTGAGGTGCAGATATTTGAAATAAGGGCCAAAACGAAGCTAAAGGTGGGTAGATAATAAATTTAAACCCTCAAGTCCATGACAGCACCACAACTTTCACAATTTCAAAAAAACCTATCAAAAGTGTCCGAAGTTACCCCGTTTCACGGTATGGTCATGGTGCCCCACTAAAAAGTGGTCATGGCTCCCCACAATGCAGTTTACGACTCTAAGGCTCCCCGAGCAAGCAAACAGTTACTTAGAATTAAATGTGATGTTGGATATTTTGCCGGAGAGCCGACATTTTGAGAAAAACCTAAGACATCGAACTTATCTCCTCAAAGGTGAGAGTGAGAAAAAATATCTCAGATTTGAAAAACGCCCAATTAAGCCAAAACGCTGTAACAAAAATTTTGGCGAGGTGCTATGGTCGTACCCCTGAAGCTAGAAGGTAGGGCTCTGGCTGAAAATAGTTAGAATTCTATTCTCTCGAAAGTCCGATCGACCGGTTTCCGTCGGCAAAGTAGTTCCCGAGAGCGAGGGGGGTGGTTATGGTACCCCAGTGGTCATGGTGCCCCACCCTCCCTTACCGCAGCAAATGCTTTGGTCAGGTCACCTTCCCGAGTAAAAATAGAAGGCTGCAGAAAGGCTGACGCACGGCTGACGCATGGCTGTATGGACCGTTTTTTGGCTGTATGCATGGCTGCCGTGGCTGCGTTGCAGCCATGTCGCAGCCATAGCGACGTCCTGGACTTGCAGCCATGCACGCTGCAGTGGCTGGTCTGGCTGTTTCACGGAGCGCTTTGGCTGTGAAACGCTTCAGAAGCTGCGCACAGAAGCCTTTTGGCTGCCCTAAGCAGCCTACAAACGCTGCCACGCACAGCCAACTTAGCTGCAGTGGCTGCAGGCTGTGCGTCGCAGCGTGTTGGCTGCTAGCGCCAGCCCTGCCGCGGCTAGACGTTACAGCCATGTAGGCTGCAATGGCTGTAGGCTGCGCGTCGCAGCGTGTTGGCTGCTGGCGCCAGCCCTGCCGCGTAGACGTTACAGCCATGTAGGCTGCAATGGCTGTGGGCTGCGCGTCGCAGCGTGTTGGCTTCTGGCGCCAGCCGGGCCCCGGCTGCACTTTACAGCCACGTAGGCTGCCATGGCTGTAGGCTGCGCGTCGCAGCGTGTTGGCTGCTGGTGCCAGCCGGGCCTTGGCTGGACTTTACAGCTATGTAGGCTGCCATGGCTGTAGGCTGAGCGTCGCAGGTGTTGGCTGCTGGCGGCAGCCAGGCCGCGGCTGGACTTTGCAGCCAGGCGGGCTGCAATGGCTGTAGGCTGCACGCTGCGCGTCGCAGCGTGCTGGCTGCCAGCGACAGCCTGGCCGCGGCTGCACTTTCCAGCCACGTAGGCTGCAATGGCTGTAGGCTGCGCGTCGCAGCGTGTTGGCTGCCGGATGCAGCCGGGCTACGGCAGGACTATACAGCCATATGGGCTGCAATGGCTGCAGGCTACGGATGCAGCATGGTGGATGCTGGCGGTATTCAGGCGCACTCCTTGATTAAAGGGTTATAAAAAATAGAAAAAAATAGAATGGGTGCGTGGTATGCTGATATTTGAGTTGAATACGTTAACACACATAAGCCATGCAAGTTTCGTAAAAATCGGGACACTTTTTGTTATCTTTGATATCTCGGGAACGGTAAGTCCTAGATGAAATTACTTACCAGATTTGGATCTGGAACGGTGTTGGGACCCTAGAAAATCTACTAAGGGCTCCATAGAACTTCAAAGGGCGTAACAGGCACCCTCAAAGGTCGTCATGGGGACCTTCATGTACTAAGGAGTGAAGCCTAGTAGCGATATGGGTGCTGCCGATGGCATCCACGAAGCTGCAGGATGCGGCCGAGATGTGGCTGTGATCCGCAGCTTCATAGCTGCCGGGTGCAGCGTGGCCCGGGCGAAAGAAGGCTGCCTGGAGCATCCTGAAGGCTGCGGGGTGCAGCCTACAGCAGCGCCTCACAGCCTCCAGGCTTCCGGAGGCAGCGTGGCCCGGGAAAGGAAAGCTGCCTGGGGCATCCTGAAGGCTGCGGGGTGCAGCTTAGAGCAGTGCCTCGCAGCCTCGTGGCTGCTGGGGGCAGCGTGGCTCGCGAAGGAAGGCTGTCTGGCGCATCCTGCAGGCTGCGGGGTGCAGCCTAGAGCAGCGGGGGCAGCGCTGACTGGGCTCTAAAGGGACACTTCAGTGGCTGGCAGGTGCAGCCTGAGACGCTGCACCGGCTGCGGATGGCTGTATTTTGGCTGACGTATGTCCGAATACAGCCAATGTCTGCAGCCATCCGAGTTCCATCCACGCGTTGTCAGCCACCTGGAGGGAGCCAGCCTGCAGCCAATCTGCAGCCTATAATTTTCTCTCGGGTTACTTCGCATGAGGAACGCGGTCGAGCTTGCCGAGCTTTGTCAAAGCATAGGAAAAACACTGGAAAAAAGAGGTAGTGATATACACTTTAATTCTGAGTTTTATATAGTTTCCAATGTTTTCGAAGGTGCTGAGCCGAAAATGGAATCCATTATGAACTCCGACCAAGGTCTAAGTCCCGGTTAGGGATATTTGAACCAGAAATTCAATGCCGTTTTATGTTTTTCCTTATTAAGGTAGTAGGAGCGATGCTTGCTAGTCAAGCGAGAGTCGAATTTTTAAAAATGTAGTAGTGGCCTCCAAAAAAATTGCTTTGCTTTGTAAAACAGTTCTAACTTCCGAAAAAGACGTTAGTTGTGCACTTGACTTCGGTCTCGTCTGCTAAATCACATATTTTGTAGTTTTGCGCAGAAAATCGGACGGGAAGGCGCGGTTTTCTTTGTTTTAGCTAATAGTGTGCCTAAAAACACAGGTTTTGTCGAACAAATCTATAACTTATCTTTACTAAAAGTATTGAAAACAAGTATTTATACTCCGCAACCGTGGGCAACATAACCTCAATCACATAAGACCACATGCTAATTTCAATTACTCCAAACTCGTGATTTTCGCCGGTGACGTATTATTTTCTCTGCGGATCTGGACTCAGGGGATTTAAATGCATAGGCTGTATGATTTTCATGGTAAAATCTTAACTTTTGAGCAACGCTCCTACTACCTTAAGAGCACTGATAATCAAAATGAGGTACTTTCAACCCAATTATCTGAGGTGAAACTCAACCTGCGGTGTCCCAAAAGTACCGCAGCTGCAGTGTAGGTTTGACCTCACATTTCTGCGTTGTCTTCAACGTAAATTTACGAATATTGCCATTTTAGCGATAGAATCCGTGTTGAATTAACCGCAGTTAAATTGGGGTGAGGTTACTCAACACACATTGTGTCGGAGTCGGGACCATCATGTTATGACGAATTGCGGTGCACAATACAGTTTTCATGAAGGTCAGGAATTCACCACAGGTCATTTGCGGTGTACAATACATTTTTCATAGGGGTGTGGAGTTCGCCACAGATTATTTGAGGTGTACAACCCATTTTGGATTACAGTGAGTGCTTAGCCCAAAGACATCATGCAGTTTCACAGTGAACCCACTGACTCCGTAGGTCAATGGAAGGAGTTAGAAATAAATTCTTCGAGATTGAGCTTAAGAGTTGGACTACTAGCAAAGGCGCATCCTGTCGGCGCATTTTACCAAACTCGTTATTCCAGACCTTTTTCGAGACGCCGTCGAAGAACAGTCGCATGTGGAAACGATTATCACTCCTGAAGGGCAACGGTACCCAGTGCAACTTTGCTAGCTTCTACTTTTGCACTTTCCATCAAGGTAGGTAACAATGGCGCTATTCTTAAAACATCGAGGTACAACCAAACTCTTGCATGAAATGATTATTCCAATTTGTGGACGGAAAACGAACAAAGTGGAAAGCGTTTACTACTTCTAAGCGCAGACTTCTCTCGTCCGGCCATTCAAAGGAATCCTAAGGTTATTTTTAAGTGCACAAAGTGACTATAGTACAGTCTTCATCGGCAAAGAGTCGACGTGTCGGGACCGGATTTCGACTCTTTGCCGACACGAAAACCGAACAGCACATGGTGGTAGACAATAGCTCCGGTAGTGCCCCGAGCTCGGGAGGGCCATAAAACTATTGTGGCTCGAGCTCAGCCCCTCTGCGTAAGCGGGGACCGTCGCATGAAGTCGACTCTTTGCCGGTCGACTCTTTGCCGATGAAGACTGTATTTCATAGTAAACACTTGCGTGAGTGCTCTCAAGTTCATTTCGATTGCATGCACTCATTTACTACTTCCCCACTTCATTTAAGTTTTTGAGTTATGGATGTGTACACTGAAAAAAGCCAGTTGCATTTTGATGTCATATACCAGACTGCCTAGTTAGTCTCTGTCTAGAAAGCATAACCAGATTCAGTTAAATCAGGCAGGTCAGCTCTTGCTGTACTATCCCTAGCCACCATGAGATCGATGAACTTGACCTCCCCAATAATTCGGTCATTGATGGGGACATAATTTTCATTTCCTTTGCCCGCGATGTCTTGCTCGCCTCTTTCCCCGCGCTTCATGAGTCATGTCCGGGGGTCACGCAGGGGCAGGGCATCCAGTGACTCTTTGACACCGGGTCCAGGAAAATGTCTTGAAGCCGCTTCTGCAAATAAAAACTAGTTTCCATCGAGTTTCCTTGTGTGAGGTCGTACATTTCTTGGGATGAAATGCACAGTCCTGCGGACATCACTGTGAGGTCCTACGGAGAATACTGTGCGGTCATACGGAAAATGCTGTAAGACCCTACGGAGAATACTGAGAACCCCATGGGAACAACCACGTATCATCCACGTGGAATCCACGTGAGATAGGTGGATTAGGTGGATAGCATTTTTCTACCTTAAATCCACGTGACTTTCACGTTGATTTAACATCGATTTGGGCGTCTATAGTGGTCCATTGTAAATCAACGTTGACTCTACGTGGATAGTCCAACGGATTTGAGGGACGTTGTGTCTACGTCGATAATGCGGTGACCTTGTGACGAGTATCCAGAGCGGTCCTATCGATATCAATGGAATGAGGATTGAGCGCCTTAACTTTTCTACACGATCTCAATGTCGATCACACGTATTCAAATTCATTGTAGCATGGTCGTCTGTCTGAGCCGGATTCATCGCAGAGGATTCGGACTTCCACGTGGATTCAACGAAGATTGTGCGAGGACTTTGGAACTCGATTAGTTTTGAAAGCTACCGACAGAGGGCCTGCTGATATTCCTGTCTTTCCTTACCCTCTCGACCTGCAAGTAGGATGCCAATTCACCATATCCCAGAGCCATAATACAATGCCCGTCGGACAACCTAAGTGGACTTGACGTGGTCCTCATAGGACATGTCTCGATCGTATGAATTTTTGGACGTCCTCACGGTGATCAACCGCGAGAGGACTTTCTAACATAAATGCCGGGTCGGTTAAGTCATAGATTTCACATCGATTATCGACTCAATCGAATTATGCTTCACCAAGCTCAGAATGACCGGTACGCACCTCGATGTAACATCGATGGTAGGTGGATAGGGCGAGTTGCTGAATCCACGTTGCATCCACGTAGTTTGACTTGGACGTTTCTACTCGATTGTCGAATCGACCATCCACGTCGATTCCACGTGAAAATTAACGTTGCGTCCACGTCTCATCCACGTGGATGTTCCCATGGGGAAGGAGGCTACGGAAAATTACCACAAGCTGTTTAAAGAATTTTCCGTAGCTTTTTGCCACAGTGTAGGCCGTGAGTTGTTTTGAGTGAGCACCTTTAACTTTAACTTAATCTCCTTTTCTGTGGCTCTCAGGAATGGAACCAGCCCATCGATCGCGCAGCATCTTGGTCAATGTTTACGACTCGTGGTACTTGAGGGGCGTTTGGGGCATAAGCTCAGATACAAGCACTCCTCGGGACGGAAACGGTTCTCTGGCATTGTTCACGGAGATGTCTGACCCGGATGTGTTGCGGTTTCTGGTTGAAATCAAGGACAGGTTAGGCAAGCCCACGGTGAGTCTGAGTCTAGTGACTTAATTACCGAAGTCCTACTTTAAGGGATGCCTACCTACAGGCACTCTGTTTGAAACAGTCTGCATGGAGGCACACACTTTGTAACTGTGTGCCTAGGACCCATGCAGTCTCAGTCAGGCACGCTGTTCTAAAGTGTGTGCCTCACAAGCACACTGTTTAGATCAGTGTGCCTACAGGCACACAGTTTAAAATAGTGTGCATACAGGCACACATTTCAAAACAGTGTGCTATGCACACTCTTGCGTTTCCAGAGCAAGCACACTCTTTTTTACAGCATACCCGCTAGGCACACGCTTAAATAGAGTGTGCGTGGCTTGTACACGCTAAACTAGGGGTACGCGCCGTTTTGTTTGGGCGCGTAGTAGGCGAGCGATGCGTCTGTATTCTTGTAGAAGATGGTGAAGAATATATGCAAAGTAAGGCCAATACAGGGTCAATGTGAAACTCAATTTTAAAAGTTTGGTCACAAATTGGTAAATTTTGGGGAAAGTAAAGGTCTGGGATGAAATTGGAAGTCATTTTCGTGATCAGCACACCAAAAAGCAGGAAACTATGTAAAACTCGATGTAAAAATTTTTGGGCCAAATTTGGGAAAATTTGGAAAAGTAAAGGTCTGAGATGAAATTGGAAGTCATTTTCGTGATCAGCATACCAAAAACTGCAGGAAACTATGTAAAACTCGATGTAAAAATTTTGGTCCGAAATTGGTAAATCTTTGGAAAAGTAAAGGTCTGACATGAAATTGGAAGTCATTTTTGTGATCAGCACACCAAAAACTGCAGGAAACTATGTAAAACTCGATGTAAAAATTTTGGTCCAAAATTGGTAAATATTTGGAAAAGTAAAGGTCTCGGATGAAATTGGAAGTCATTTTTGTGATCGGCACACCAAATACTGCAGGAAGCAATGAAACACCGAGGAAATTTTGGTCCTTAATCATGTAATTCTAGTTGAAAGTATGGGTCTTCAGTTGTTGGCGAGCGATAGCGAGCCCATGCCGTGTTTGGGGGTACCAAAAAGTGACTGGTCGTGCGTCTGTCTGTCTGTCTGTCTGTAACTCACTCACGTTTCTCAGCAACTACCGCACAAATATTTTTCAAAATTTCGCACCGGAAGGCTCCTAAATCCCCCCAGGGGGAGTTTATCTTATATTCACGATTACTATTGTTTGAAATATTCAAAACATCTTTTTGAATTAGGTTCTTAGCGTGGTTAGGTTGGCAGTGGTTGGCAGCTCGTAGCAATTTTTCATACTTGCGGCCGCGACTCTCAAATACGGGACCTCGCAAAACATTGGCAAATAAAACAAACTAAAGAGCAGAAGGGCTTAGAAGTGAGTACGGTCATAGTTTTTCGATATATTTAGAATGATTGAAACCCCTCCGGAGTGTCAACTCAGTGAAATACGGAAAATGAAAGTGACAATTATTACGCGTTTCGTCCGTCCGTCCGCCCCCTCCCCTCCCCCGCTACACCGCTACAGGGGAAATGTTTTAGTCAGTGGAGTGTGTGTGTGTGTTTGATAATTGCAAGAATGATTTGGTCTTTGTAAGCTTTGAGAGTGTATTTCCATTTTTATTCTCAGACATTATACTTTTTAGTTGTTTGCTTTGCTCAATAACAGTTTGAAAATATATTAATACATTCTATAAGTACAAACCTGATACTAATCTTGCCAAAATAAATAGTCTTTGCTGACTCTTGGCACTGATTCTGGGAAAAGGCTTCATTGCAATGCTGTGAGTTTACTATAGTACTAACCTTAAAGAAAACCATATGATGAGTGAGTGTAGCGCATTCAAGGTTTGACATTGACATCAGATTCAATGAGACGATTCACTGACTTGGTCATATGATTTCATGAGACGATTCTTTTAACTTAATCATACATTGTCTGCGACAACTGGTAATTTGTTTTTGGTTTGGTTTGAGGTTTTTTTTTTTTAAATTTACTCAGAATGTTAGGTAAATACTTTTGCTAAACTGTTTCAAAGATTAAATAACACATCATGACTATCATTATGAATAAGCTAAACTTGCGTTTAGCAATAAGTGGCCTCGACATTGGATTCTATGAAACGATTCATTGGATCTGACAGAAGGTCTTCTCCGTAAAGTAGTTGAAATCAGCCTGCCTGTAAATATGTCTCTTTTTAATTAATGCAGATAAATCAATATAGTTTAATCCACTAGTTTAAACTAAAAGGGAGAAAGGCTTTTTAGGTATTACTAATATTATTGCGTATTCATAAGTTCAGTAACAAGGAGATATCGAATGGTAATTGAAGTATTTGTGAATCGTATTAAGCAATTCAATGCTGGCTGTTAAATGTTACTCGACTGAGTAACAGGGTCAGGGTTCATGGCATGACACCATGAACAGGAAACACTATTAAAAAAACCTAACAACTGAAGACCCATACTTTCAACTAGAATTACATGATTTAGGACCAAAATTTCCTCAGTGTTTCATTGCTTCCTGCAGTATTTGGTGTGCTGATCACAAAAATGACTTCCAATTTCATCCCAGCCCTTTTACTTTTCAAATATTTCCCAAATTTTCGGACCAAAATTTTTACATCGAGTTTTACATAGTTTCCTGCATTTTTTGGGTGTGCTGATCACGAAAATGACTTCCAATTTCATCTCAGACCTTTACTTTTCCAAATATTTCCCAAATTTTCCGCCCAAAAATTTTTACATCGAGTTTTACATAGTTTCCTGCAGTTTTTGGTGTGCTGATCACGAAAATGACTTCCAATTTCATCTCAGACCTTTACTTTTCCAAATATTTACTAATTTCCGACCAAAATTTTTACATCGAGTTTTACATAGTTTCCTGCAGTTTTTGGTGTGCTGATCACGAAAATGACTTCCAATTTCATCCCAGACCTTTACTTTCCCCAAAATTTACCAATTTGTGACCAAACTTTTAAAATTGAGTTTCACATTGACCCTGTATTGGCCTTACTTTGCATATATTCTTCACCATCTTCTACAAGAATACAGACGCATCGCTCGCCTACTACGCGCCCAAACAAAACGGCGCGCACCCCTAGTTAGATTTTTCAAGAGCGTTTCCTGTTCATGGTGTCATGCCATGAACCCTGACCCTGTTACTCAGTCGAGTAACATTTAGCAGCCAGCATTGAATTGCTTAATACGATTCACAAATACTTCAATTACCATTCGATATCTCCTTGTTACTGAACTTATGAATACGCAATGTTATTAGTAATACCTAAAAAGCCTTTCTCCCTTTTAGTTTAAACTAGTTTAAACTTCATAAGGGGTATTTGCTGATAGGAAGTCCGTGCAAGTGGTAATTGAGCTAAACATCTTTGATTTTAAAATTTCCACATTTTGACGAACCAACCCAGGTCCATGTATATTATTGGGCTATCTATTTATTTCATACACAGTTATAAAAAAGCCCGAACTACTACCTTGAAGAAAACCTAACGAGTATCATCTGCTTTCATTAACGTTTGTTGAATGAGATTTTTTATTCTACAGATACCTTACGCGGAACACACGGGTGATTCCGTGCGTAGGGGGTCATTTTGGATGTACCAAATGTTCTTTTTTTAAAGTTCAACTTTAGGGGCTAAATTTGGTGTAGGTGGCATACATAGTGCCCCACAGTACTCTGAGCGTGGCAGCGCTACAAGTTGACTTTTAATTTCACCCCCTACGTAATACGGCGGAATTTACAGAAAAAATGACGGAATTTCCAGATTACGGAATTTACAAAGCGAAGTGTTTAGTCTTCTGACCCGCTGGGATACAAGATAAGCAAAAACTGTTGACGTTGTCATTTTGAGCATCCAAAATAGCGTTTTTCAGCGCAGGTTGTGGGAACTTTCTCCCTCAGATGGAGGAGCTACGGCCCGAAACTGAATTTACATCTATTTGTACACCCTTACCGTTTTGAACAATTCTGACGGCCTGGAAGCGTCGTTTGATCGCCCCAGGTCCCGCGGTCATGGGTTTCTGGAAGCGTTTTTTATGTTCTTTCGATCCCAAGTGGTCGCGAGGTTCTAAAACGAAAAGGAACCCCAGTAGACCGTCAGTTGTAAAAGCAGCATAGGTCACATGGTCACACGGTGGACATTTTCCCAAAGGCTGTTTCGGGTTCAACCAGTGATGATACACAGATCATCTTCCGTAATTTTGCGAAGAATAAGTCAGGGAAGAGAGTGAAATAGCCTGTTTTCTTTTGATGTGGCTGAGTCATATAGTACAGCATGGCAATGTTGTCTTATAGGTGTTGGTGACCATGACGGAACTTACAAAACGACACTTTAGCAGCTTACGAAACCTAGAAAAACAAAAGTTAGATCGACTCATCCACATGAGGACATGGTCTTTGTTTAGTAAAACAAATTTTAATTGCCTAAGCTAACAAATCAACCTCAGTTCAGGCGCAAGGCCCCGGTGACCTGAAATGACCCCCTACGCACGGAATCACCCACACGCATCTTGCATACATTTAGGCGTTTGCTCGGCGGGTCGCCTATGCTGTTGGCCAAGTTAGGTCTCCCAGGGCAGTCCATAGCACTCCCAAATGATTCACCACTAAAATTGACGCTTGTGACGCTTTTTTATTGCTAAAATTCGAACTTCCAGAGTGCAAACAATACAGGGGTCAAAATGACCCCTGCCGCGGTTCTAGGTATATTGTTGTTTTACGCCCACAAAAATGGTACGACAGCGCCGAAATTTCACTCAAATGTTCTTTTCTGGTATTTATAAAAAGTCAAAAAGCCCCAAATCCGAGAAGAAAAAATACGATTTCAAGAAATCCTAGGAGTCACGAAGTCAATTTGATTATTGTGTAAGAGTGTGGAGAAAGAAAAGAAGTGGTGTTGTGAAATTGTGGCTCAGGGGACTACCAATGGCAGTAATACCAATGTGGTCGATGTGCCACCCGTCGAAATTTAAACTTGACAAAATAGAAATCAAAATGCTGGTAAATT